CGGCAAACACAGAACAGAAAAGCACTGTGTTAATTAAACAACAGTAGTTTCTTAATGTGTCTTGACTTAGTGGTCAAAGGGTGATTTTTTTTTAAGGCTTATTTACTTTTATTTAATGTATGTGTGTTATGCCTGTGTAACATGTTTGCAGTACACTCAGAGGCCTGAAGAGGGTGTTGGGTCCTCTGGAACTGGAATTACAGACTACTGTGAGCTGCCATGTAGGTGCTGGGAACCAAACCCAGGACCTCTGGAAGAGCAGTCAGTGCTCTTAATTACTGAGCCATCTCTCCAGCCCTTGGATTCTGTTTTTTGTTTTGTTTTGTTTTGTTTTTTTAAATATTTTTTTTTAAACTGGAGCCAAAGAGATTGATCAGAAGTTAACAGCAGGAGTTCTATTCCCAGTGCTCACATGGTGGCTCACAGCCAAACCCAGAGGATCCATTGCCTTCTTCTGGACTGCAAGGACATCAGACAAAATACCCATACACATAAAATCAAAACAAAAAGGAACAAAGAATCCAATTCCTGAAGGCACTGGGGCACTCGGGAACTGGAATAGGAAAACTAAGGAGTTTAAATCCAGCCGGAGCTACTTGTGAGACCTGTTCAAAAATTAACAAGTAAAGAAATAGATAAGTAAGAACACAGTTAAATGGTATTTAGAGTTAGTGTTCATTCTCCTGGGTGTGTTAGTACCATTCACACTATCCGGTTGTGTGCCTGGAGCACCCTTTAACCATGATGACATTCATCTAATGAGGCTTTGGTAGGTGAAATGGCCCTTGAGCCATTAACTGAATTCAAAGATACGTAATTTTTTGTTGTTGATTTTTCCAGACAAGATTTCTCTGTGTGGTCCTGGCTGTCCTCGAACTCACCCTGTAGATCAGGCTGCACCCAAACTCATTCTATAGACCAGGCCTCAAATTCGAATCACCCCCATATGAAGCATCTCCAGAGGATTTGTTGCTATAATTCTTGAAATAGTTGAATCTGTTTAAATTTTTATCTAGAAGCTTCTGTGAAGTTGTAGTTGCTTAATTGCTGATGCGTTTATATTATGTGTGACATCAAGTCTCAAATTCCACACTGACGATGCTGATTCGTTCCCACGTAGGGAAAATAGCAGGGTCTGCCTAAAGCAGAGTTACACATCCGGCTTCACTGTGTGCTCCTTTGCTGTTTTCTCCAGCGATTCCGCAAATCCGCAGTCCATGGGTCAGACAAGAAAGTGTGCCGTTGACCTGAAACCTGAAGCCGCTTACAACTTAATCCACACCCTTCTGTTTGGGGTCTTGGCGATGAGTACGATGAGGTAAGCTCCATCTCATCTCAGCTGATTTCTTTGATTTCACTTGACGGCTTTTTAATTGAAACTGCCTGGCGGTGTGATTCGGAACCCGCAGCCACGGTTGCTGTGAGTGTGTCCTGTACATCAAACCCCGTGTATTCTCTTCCCTCCATGAAATGCCATTGCCAGGGTTTCTTTCTCTCAGCTTGCAAACATTCTCCAGTGGTTCACTTGCGTGACTCTCCCTGGGACGTGATGGGATGGATAAGCCACGCTCTGGCTGGTGGCTTCTGTGCGGATTGACCGGGCAGTCTGAGTGTGGGCGTCCTAACCCTAACCCTAACCCTAACCCTAACCCTAACCCTCCTCACTTGCTCGAGCACCCACACCAGCAGGCACTGCTGACGGCCGTCTCTCTGCTCTTGCAGGATGAAATACCTATGGATCTCTCATATGTGTGTGTTCGCGTCATTTGGCCTGTGCAGCTCTGAGATCTGGGAATTGCTCCTGAGGCTGCTTCATCTCTGTAACCCAAAGAGGGTTAGTGCCGTCCGTCCTCTGTCCGTCCGGTTGGAAGTGAGCTGTAGGGTTTCAGTGTTTCAGTGGGTGCCAGGTGTCGAGTAGAGTGGATACAAACTCTGGATTGTTTTGTTTTGTGATGGGGTTTCCCTGTATAGCCCTAGGGTCCTGGAACTCACTCTGTGACCAGGCTGGCCTCAAACTCACAGCAATCCATCTGCCCTGGTCTCCTGAGTGCTGGGATTAAAGGCGTGTGCGCCCCCCCCGCCGGTCTCAAAATCTGGATCTTGAATTCATTCACTTCATCTTTTATAAGGATTGATTTTTAAAATGTGTTTATTATTTTGGTTTTATCGTTTATTATTTTATACATGTATGTAATGTATTCTAGCTCCTATCTCTACATTCCTTCAAACTCCCTCACACGCCTGGGAGTCCCCTCTGTCCTAATTTGCTTTCCGTTGCTGTCGTAAAACACCATGACCAAAAGCAGCTTGGGAAGGAAGGGCTCTGTATAGTATATATGTTCCAGGTCACAGCCCATCACCACGAGAAGTCAGAGCAGCAACTCAAGGCAGGAAAAAAGCAAGCCACGGAGGAGTGCCGCTTTCTGGCGTGCTCCCCATGGCGGGCTCAGCCTGCCCCCTTGAGCATCGCCCACAGTGGGCTGGGCCCTCTCACATCAATCTCGAGTCAAGAAAATGCCCCCCTGACTTGAGCACAGGCCTGTCTGATGAAGACATCTGCTTAGTTTAGGCTTCCTCTTCCCAGGCCACCATAGCTTATACCGAGGTGAGCAAAACCTAGTCAGCAGACTGTTACCTTCCTGTCCCTCATTAGATTTATAACTTTGGGTTTTTGTTTTATGGCATATTTAGTTTAACCAAGGCCGTCTGCATGACCAGGACTGGGGCTATGCAATGGAGTTTGGTCATCAATTTTTGTTGTTACTGTTGTTCAAGACAGGGTTTCTCTGTGTAACAGCCCTGGCTTTCCTCAAACTCAACTTGTAGACCAGGCTGGCCTGGAACTCCCAAAGATCCAGGTGACTTTGGAGGCTGTCCTGGAACTAGCTCTTGTAGGCCAGGCTGGTCTTGAACTCAAAGAGATCCACTTTCCTCTGCCTTCCAGGTGCTGGGATTAAAAGTGTGTGCCACCACTGCCTGGCCCTGTCAATTATATTTTTAAGTCACTTGTGTCAGAAGTGATCACTATACACAGAACTTAGGAATGCAGTAAAAAGCACAAAATGTGAAATTAAAATTTTCCAATAGTTCCATTGTCCAGAGTTACCATTTTTATTATAAGGTATTTCCCTGAAGGTAATTTACCGGCGTCTACACAGTAGAGTTGACCAGCCCGTAGCCATGAACCGCTCTGCCCTCTGCGCTCATTAGGTGGCAACAGCGAGCTCAGCTGTCATTCTGTTTGTTTGCTTTTGCTGTCTTTGGAAGGTGTGCTCGCACAAAGCCACAGAGGTCCAGAGAGGTATGGTCTAACAGAGTCTTTGTCTCACAGATCTGGGTCATGCGGTATTCGGTGCCCATACTCACGCTGCTGTACCTGTGCTGTAAGGTAAGGCTGGTCTCACCCACTCCGTTTGGCAGCAGAGGGAGGGGGACTTGTGGCATCCCCAAAGACCTCCTTTGAGTCTAGTTGAGTTGGCATTGATAGGAAAAGCAGTCTTCCAACTTGTAGTTTTTAGAGGTTAAGTGTTACAGTATAAAAGCCATTCAGAAAAGAAAAAAAAAAAAAACTTAGAAAAAACCGTTCCATTAGTTTCAACCCTCACTGAAAAGCAGATCTTGAAAATGTTTTCAGACCTAGTTTGAAACAAATAAGGCAGGAAAATTTGGTTTATGTAGAGTGGAAGGTCATAAGGTAGGACCAACTTAACCTGTACGTTTCATTAGATGTCTTCACGGGGACTGGACACATGGGATAAACCGTGAGTAGTGGTACCCGACAATAATCTCAACACTGAGATTCTGAGGTCGGAGGATCCAGCGTTCAAAGCCAGCCTGGGCTTCATAATGAGATCCAAACAAAAACAAGACAATGGAAAGAAAGGTTGACCCCTCTCCCCAACCCAAAGACATTTTAATGACACAGAGAAAACTGTCATATTCTCCTTTAACTGACTTAAAAGTGTTCCAAGACACCCCTCAGGGACACCTGTCATTGATCATTTGGCCATTGAGTGTGATTCATTTGTTATGTCTTTGAGATTTATAGGCCTTAGGCTATCACCTGAGAACATAACAGAGAATACGTAATTCTTGCCCTTTTTCTTTTCTTTCTTTTTTTTTTTTTTTTTTTTTTTTTTGGGCGGAGGGGTGGGTGGTGCTTTTTCGAGACAGGCTTTCTCTGTGTAGCCGTGGCGGTCCTGGAATTCGCTTTGTAGCCCAGGCTGGTCTTGAACTCACAGAGACCCGCCTGCCTCTGACTCCGGAGTGCTGGGATTAAAGGTGCATGCAGCGACCATCCAGCTCTCTTGCCCTTTCTTAGACCAGAACCAAACTCAAACAAAACAAACACATGTTTGCTATTTTCCTGTGCTGTTTTAAGTTAGAGCAGTGGACTAGAGGTTGCTATGGAGAGGCCCTGATTTGGCAGAATCGAAGAGAGAGTCTTCCCGCAGCTCAGCCTCCAGACGGGCCTGCTTCTGTTGTAACGTGAGGGTGTATAAACTGAAGGCTTTAGGGGTAGAGCCTGCAATTGATAGTCCATGCCCTGTCAGAACAGCTGCCATTAAAGGCAGAGCCCACCAGTCCCAGAAACTTATTCTTTCATGTAAATAAGTGAAACAAGGTAAATGTTCAGTAGCAACTTGGCAGCTTCACCTTTACATGGAATTAATGAGTGTTAAACCCCTGCAAGGTCAGCATTATTCTGTTGTTGCCACTACAGCTTTTGGAACAGGACGGTATGGGGCTAGGGACTGACTGACTGTGTGTGTGTGTGGGGGGGGGTATGTTTGTGTCTGAGTGTGTGAGTGTTGAATTTCCCACTACTTGTTGAAATTTTTTTTTAATATTTACTTTTCTTTTTTTTTAAGATTTTATTTATTATGTATACAACATTCTGCTTCCATGTCTATCTATCTGCACACCAGAAGAGGGCACCAGATCTCATTACAGATGGTTGTGAGCCACCATGTGGTTGCTGGGAATTGAACTCAGGACCTCAGGAAGAGCAGTCGGTGCTCTTAACCTCTGAGCCATCTCTCCAGCCCACTTGTTGAAATTTGATGAATCTTTTTATGTTATTTAAGGATTTAGCGATAAGATTAAGGAAGGGTTCAGAGAATAAGTACAACATGTTCTAGAACTTTGGTTCTTTTTGTTGTTGTTGTTGTTGTTGTTGTTTTTCAAGACAGGGTTTCTCTGTGTAGCTTTGGAGCCTATCCTGGCACTCGCTCTGGAGACCAGGCTGGCCCCGAACTCACAGAGATCCGCCTGCCTCTGCCTCCCGAGTGCTGGGATTAAAGGCGTGCGCCACCAACGCCCGGCTGGTTCTTAAACATGGTCCCCAGGCAGGCAGAAGCATCAGCATCATTGATCTAGGAAATATAAGATGTGGGTTGCACTCTGTCAGACCTGCTAAGTCAGACGTTGACATGCAGCGGTGTGCTGACGAGAACGGCATCAGGTTTGCCAGGCCTGCTGCTGTGCCTCTCTGTACCCTAGGGCTTTCCCACAGACAGCCGTGTCTCAGGGTGCTGACCCTTGTCTCCAAGAACCCCTGCTGTAGGGGACCGGTGGAACTAGGAAAGCTGCCATCCCCAGCATCGGCCAGCAGTGGTCCTGGGGTGAGAGAATTGGGATTCTGATGAGTTTATCAAGACCAATGCTCAGGCCTTGGGCAGATAGCCTGATGACTCTACTCACACTGTACAAAATACTTTAGATACTTTATCTCAAATTTGCAAAGTAAAGCCAGGCTTGGTGGCACGTGACTTCAATCCCAGCATTGGGGAGACAGAGGCAGGGGAACTCTGTTCAGTTGCCAGCCTGGTCCAGACAGCCAGGGCTACCTAGTGAGTAAGGCTCTGATACTTTAAAAAGAATTGTAGCCGGCGTGCACACCTTTAATCCCAGCAGAGGCAGGTGGGTCTCTGTGAGTTCGAGGCCAGCCTGGTCTACAGAGCAAAGTTCCAGGACAGCCAGAACTACACAGAGAAACCTTGTCTCAAGAAGGAAAAAAAAGGTTGGTCGAGGGGAGGGGAGGATGGCTCAGAGGTTAAGAGCACTGACTGTTCTTCCAGAGGACCTGAGTTCAATTCCCAGCAGCCATATAGTGGCTCACAACCATCCGTTATGAGATCTGGTGCCCTGTTCTGGCCTGCAGGCAGAACATTGTATACATAATAAATAAATAAATAAATAAATAAATAAATCTTTTTAAAAAATTAAAAAAGAAGGAAAAAATGTAAAGTATAAAACCAGAGAGATCATGAACAACATAGACATTGGGAATTTTTCCCTGGCACTAAAACTGTTTTCCATCTATTAAGATTTTTGTGTCAGTGATGTCTTTATTTGAAGCCTGGCTTGAGTTTCACTGACAGTTATAATGTGGGTTGAGTTCTTTCCTAGGATAATTCCATTCAGAGAGAAAAGCATGTGGTAGGCTCCTCGGAGCCAGAGATTAAAAGCATTTACCCTGGTCTCCATTCGCTTATCGGATTGGTGAAATCCCAGCTAATCTATTTCATTCTGTTAAAGGTGACATTTAGTTTTTATTTGCAGGTTATTTAGGGAGCTTCCCTCAGGATGCACAAGGGTTTAACACCGAGTCCGAATCAGCAACTTTAGATTTAGAAAAATATCCAGTACCCATTGATTTAACACATTTACCAAAATAATTGGAGCATTTTATTAGATAAAATGTTGGTATTTAGTTGGTTGTCAAGTAACAGGGACAACATAATTAATCTCCAAAGTACTTAGTAGAGCAAGTTAGGAGTTTGAGGCTAGCCTGGGCTACATAGTAAGACCATCTCAAAACAACAAAATAAGAATTAACAGGGGAAATGTTGCTTAGTCCACCGTCAGTTGAGAATCATTAAGACTTAATTGATTAATGAACTAGAACTTACATTAGGTAAGTGATGGGTAGGAATGTTCTTTTTATATCATGCCTTCGTGCCCTTAAATGACTTGAGTTGACCAGTGGCATAAATAATGAAGTCAAGTACATGAGATTCTCGTGGAGAGTCTGATTGCCAGCATTTCTATTAACATATATCAAACCATTTGCCCAGAACCCTAGCAGCAGAACAGTGTTGTGGCCCTGTGATGGCCGGGGGACTGAGTTCAGAAGCAGGTTCTGAGACACACACAGCTCCGATACTTCTGAGCCTGCTTGTCAGCCACTTCCCCAAGCCACAGTGATGGTGATGTCCTCTGCCTGCCATCCGTCCTGTGGGTTACCATGAGGACAGGATGTTTTCTGTATTGGAAGCTTTGGGGGTGGGGGTGGGGGTGTCTATGTGTTTGTCAGTGCCCCAGATGCACACAACACCCACAGAGGCCAGAAGAGGGCAGCGGATCCTCTGGAACTGGAGTTACAGGTTGGTGTCTGCTGTGAGCTACCTTGTGGGTGCAGGTTCCCCCTGCAGGAGCCGGAAATGCTCTCAGTCACTGAGCCCTCTCTCCAGGCCCAACAGTAGTCTTTTTTTTAAAAGCCACATAAAAGTCCACATGTAAAAGCTAACAGCGACTGACCCCGCTTAGCTTCAGCTGGGATGAATCTGGAATTTTCAGAGGTAAATTGGTTCTGGGGTTCGGTTGCTGTTTGTGTTTGGCTCTGAGTGCAAGATACACAGTTTCTCTTTCTCTGCTATTTCCTCTCTGTGACTGGTACAGGGCTCATTTTGTTTTTAATTTCAGTCCTGGCCAGGGATGATGGATGAACTCTCGGAATTGAAAGAATTCTATGACCCAGACACGGTGGAGCTGATGGACTGGATTAGGTAAGAGGAACTGTTCCAGTTTAAAACTTTGAATGCCTTTCTGAAGTCAACTGTACTTCTCAATTGTTTGGGGGACAGAGTTTATTTTCTATTTGTGAAGAAACAGCCTCCTTTTTTAAAATCAAACTTTAATACTCTAAATTTGGAGGAAACTTCCTACCAGGGTGTGGTGTCACACACCTGTGACCCCAGCACTGAGACAAAGGCACAGCCATGAGTTGGAGGCCAGCCCAGGCCACATAGTGAGACCCCGTCTGTAGACAACAGAAGGGTTCTCTGCAGCTGCATTCCCTGAAGGAAAGGAGCAGGATCGGAATGTAAACCTCGGCACCGGCAGACGGGAGACTGGGGTTTTATTTCCCCATGAGCTTAGCAGTTGAGAGCAGGCACTGTTCTTGTAGACGACCCAAGCTCAAAGCCAGCACCCGCACCTGGTAGCTCACAGCCACCTGGGAGTCTAGCTTCAGGGCCTCTGACTCCACCCCGGCTCCACAGATACATAGATGCTGTTTCGTATTGAAAATCTCTATGGGCTGGAGGGACGGCTCAGCGGTTAAGAGCACTTGTTGCTTTTCCAGAGGACTTGGGTGTAATTCCCAGTACAAACAGGGGGGCTCTCAACCAACCATCAAGGGCACCAGTCACATATGCAGGCAAAACACCTTAACACGTA